GCATACACACATTAGTTGTGCTGCTTCTTAATGACAGTATCTTAGCTAACAACCCCAACTATTAGATTCAGCTTGTAATTGGCTAAAAATAACTTAGCCTACCAGTGACACAAACGTTGCTAGCTGGCAGTTTTTTCAAGTGATGTTGAAATGTCCACATTCCAACACTTCAAATGCTTCAGGAGCTTTCCGCTCAGCACAGCATCAGCACCACGGAAATACACGGATACACCCGAAGACTCGAGGCAGAATTCACAATGTGTTTTTGGGACTTGTGTGTATGGATCAATGTTTTCTTTTCAAATCAAACTAGAAAGCTTTAATGAGTAGCTGGATTTGTCTCACATTAACTGGCTGGACACAGAGGACATCGAAATGCAGCTGATTGAACTGAAAAGCTCGACTCTGTGGGGTCAAAGTTTGCACAGCTATGAACACAGCTGGAATCCACAGCTGTGCGTGTTCATGGAGCTTGCATTTTCACCTGCTGGACATCACTACCTGAGATTAACTGTCTTCAGAACGTAATACGAAGAGTGTCCTCAGGTAGCCGTCTGAATGCTGGACACTCTGAGACCTGTGTCTCTGAGTGGGAGACCAGAGATCACATTAACATGTGTATCTCTGTATTAACAAACATGCTATACAGTTTATTTTTCTTATCTTTGTTTTGAGGAGATCATAAATAGCATTTGCATTTTCTGATGTACAGTTCATTTGCTGTTATGGATAAAAAGTGTCTTTTTTTTTTTTGTTTCAAAATTACTGATAACTATTCGCTGATAGCTGCCAACATCTGCGAACAAATACAATTCTATAAAGTGGTTCTATACAGGGAGTGCAGAATTATTAGGCAAATGAGTATTTTGTCCACATCATCCTCTTCATGCATGTTGTCTTACTCCAAGCTGTATAGGATCGAAAGCCTACTACCAATTAAGCATATTAGGTGATGTGCATCTCTGTAATGAGAAGGGGTGTGGTCTAATGACATCAACACCCTATATCAGGTGTGCATACCCATTTCAATTATTTATTTTTACCAGTGAAACCAATATAACATCTCCACATTCACAAATATACATTTCTGACATTCAAAAACAAAACAAAAACAAATCAGCGACCAATATAGCCACCTTTCTTTGCAAGGACACTCAAAAGCCTGCCATCCATGGATTCTGTCAGTGTTTTGATCTGTTCACCATCAACATTGCGTGCAGCAGCAACCACAGCCTCCCAGACACTGTTCAGAGAGGTGTACTGTTTTCCCTCCTTGTAAATCTCACATTTGATGATGGACCACAGGTTCTCAATGGGGTTCAGATCAGGTGAACAAGGTGGCCATGTCATTAGTTTTTCTTCTTTTATACCCTTTCTTGCCAGCCACGCTGTGGAGTACTTGGACGCGTGTGATGGAGCATTGTCCTGCATGAAAATCATGTTTTTCTTGAAGGATGCAGACTTCTTCCTGTACCACTGCTTGAAGAAGGTGTCTTCCAGAAACTGGCAGTAGGACTGGGAGTTGAGCTTGACTCCATCCTCAACCCGAAAAGGCCCCACAAGCTCATCTTTGATGATACCAGCCCAAACCAGTACTCCACCTCCACCTTGCTGGCGTCTGAGTCGGACTGGAGCTCTCTGCCCTTTACCAATCCAGCCACGGGCCCATCCATCTGGCCCATCAAGACTCACTCTCATTTCATCAGTCCATAAAACCTTAGAAAAATCAGTCTTGAGATATTTCTTGGCCCAGTCTTGACGTTTCAGCTTGTGTGTCTTGTTCAGTGGTGGTCGTCTTTCAGCCTTTCTTACCTTGGCCATGTCTCTGAGTATTGCACACCTTGTGCTTTTGGGCACTCCAGTGATGTTGCAGCTCTGAAATATGGCCAAACTGGTGGCAAGTGGCATCTTGGCAGCTGCACGCTTGACTTTTCTCAGTTCATGGGCAGTTATTTTGCGCCTTGGTTTTTCCACACGCTTCTTGCGACCCTGTTGACTATTTTGAATGAAACGCTTGATTGTTCGATGATCACGCTTCAGAAGCTTTGCAATTTTGAGACTGCTGCATCCCTCTGCAAGATATCTCACTATTTTTGACTTTTCTGAGCCTGTCAAGTCCTTCTTTTGACCCGTTTTGCCAAAGGAAAGGACGTTGCCTAATAATTATGCACACCTGATATAGGGTGTTGATGTCATTAGACCACACCCCTTCTCATTACAGAGATGCACATCACCTAATATGCTTAATTGGTAGTAGGCTTTCGAGCCTATACAGCTTGGAGTAAGACAACATGCATGAAGAGGATGATGTGGACAAAATACTCATTTGCCTAATAATTCTGCACTCCCTGTATAGATCCACTTTATAGAATTGTATTTGTTCGCAGATGTTGGCAGCTATCAGCATAGTTATCAGCAATTTTGAAACAAAAAAAAAAAAGACACTTTTTATCCATAACAGCAAATGAACTGTACATCAGAAAATGCAAATGCTATTTATGATCTCCTCAAAACAAAGATAAGAAAAATAAACTGTATAGCATGTTTGTTAATACAGAGATACACATGTTAATGTGATCTCTGGTCTCCCACTCAGAGACCCAGGTCTCAGAGTGTCCAGCATTCAGACGGCTACCTGAGGACACTCTTCGTATTACGTTCTGAAGACAGTTAATCTCAGGTAGTGATGTCCAGCAGGTGAAAATGCAAGCTCCATGAACACGCACAGCTGTGGATTCCAGCTGTGTTCATAGCTGTGCAAACTTTGACCCCACAGAGTCGAGCTTTTCAGTTCAATCAGCTGCATTTCGATGTCCTCTGTGTCCAGCCAGTTAATGCGAGACAAATCCAGCTGCTCATTAAAGCTTTCTGGTTTGATCAGAAAAGAAAACATTGGTCCATACACCTGAAAGTCCCAAAAACACATTGTGAATTCTGTCTCGAGTCTACGGATGTATCCGTGTATTTCCGTGGTGCTGATGCTGCGCTGAGCGGACAGCTCCTGAAGCATTTGAAGTGTTGGAATGTGGAATTTCAACATTGCTTGAAAAAACTGCCAGCTAGCAACGTCCCTCTCACCGGTAGGCTAAGTTATTTTTAGCCAATTACAAGTTGAATCTGGTAGTTGGGGTTGTTAGCTAAGATACTGTCATTAAGAAGCAGCACAACTAATGTGTGTATGCGAGCTAATTTGCGATGTGCACTGCTGGCCTGGCCATTTATTTTTTAATGGACCTTCTCAGTTAACCCTTCTCCTGCCAGCTGTGGCTTTCAATTCAGGGAGATGTCCTCTGCCCTTAATCCGAGGTATCAGCCCCCATCCAGGAATGATCTATCCAACACACTTATACCTGCTTGGTATTGCGTGGAGAAAAGCAACCTCATCCAGAATTTGGCACAGGTTAACAAGGTCGCTATCACCTGTGATGGATGGACCAGTATTGCTCAGGACCATTTCCTCACAGTGACTGTTCACTACATCTACAAAGGCAAAATGAAGCAGAATGTGCTCAGCACTGAAGCAGTTTATGAGTCACAAACAGGTCCAGTTGTCGCTAAAGAAATATCAAGCGTTATGGAGCAATTTCACTTGGGAGGGAAAATAATTGCTGCCACTGTAGACAATGCCTGCAACATGGATGTTGCTTTGAAAAAATTGGACTTTTTAAAAGTGGGATGCTTTGCTCATACCCTCAACCTGGCCGCACAAAAGGTGTATGACATTCCTGCAGTTTCCAGCTGGTGTGCCAAAATCCGTTCAGTTGTGGTGTGGCTCAAACGTTCATCCTTGAGCAAAACTGTGCTCAGAGAAAAGCAGCGAATCCTGAGTAAGTAGCGCATGCAGTTACATATCAAGAAGTATTGTTATTCATATTACCTTTTTTATAGTAATTTAAAATATGTTTGTGTCTATCTGTGCTTTAGATTTGCCAGAGCATAATGTAATTCTTGACGTTAAGACGCGCTGGAATTCTCTCTTCCTAATGGTGGAGAGATTTATGGAGCAGTTTGATGCAATCCAGGCAGCTGCTCTGGATCAACGGCTGAGGAAGCCTATGGAGAAGGACAAGTAAGTGAATGACATGAGCATCACTTGCAAGAGCTAAATTACGTCAGTTACCTTTAACATTGTGAATATTTTTCAACAGGCTAGAAAGGTTCACGCACACTGATTTAATCAAGGCAGAGGAGTTTATTAAGTGCATGCAAGTCCTGTACACGTCAACCATGTGTGTCTCAAGTGACAAGTCACCCACATGCAGCCAAATCATCCCCATCCTGGCCAAGCTGGAGGCACATTTCAGACGATGTGATGAAGACAGTGTTTTCACCTCTTCAATAAAAGAGAAAGTCTGGGGTAGTCTGCAGAAAAGATATCAGGTATTTGCAGACAATGTCAATGCGCATGAAAAATAGGGTTACCTTTTTTCAGTATCAGCTCCTATGTTATATCTTGTTTTACTTAAAGGATGAAAACCTTCAGAAATTTCTGAAGGAGGCCACGATGATGGACCCACGTTTTAAAGGCAGGCTAGGTGGTGAGGCAGCTACTGACATCTGGGACAGGTTGGAGAAGGCAGCAGTTGCAAATGCCACAGCAGCAGTTGCGCAGGTATTTTCATTGTGTGTGTACAATCTTGTCCTTTTGCATCATGATGTAGTTTCTATGTTGAAGGAATGCTCTTTTACTATCTGTGTGTCCATAGCCTCCCACTGAGGACCCCAAAGCACACAGCGAGGTGGATGATGCTGACATGGACAAGCCAGAAAAATATGTAATTTCAGATTTTTTCTAACACAACCACTACATTCTAAAAGTGATCTTTATTTATTTTGCAAACCTCACACATCTTTTTTTGTTGTTTTTCAGCTAAGTAAGGTCCAGAAGTCACCCTTAGAAAAGCTGTTTGAGGATGAAGACAGAGAGCTTCAACAGGCTGCTTCTCAAGCGGGTAGAGTCCCCTCAATCACAGAGCAGGTACAGAAGGAGCTTCAAATATACAAAAGACTGCCAGGAATTACCTCTGGACAAGACCCTGTGGCCTGGTGGTGGAGTAAGAGGGATACACTCCCCAATTTATCTGCCCTATCAGAAAAATACTTGTGTGTCCCAGCCTCATCAACGCCTTCTGAAAGAGTTTTCTCTTGTGCTGGGCATGCCATCAGCCAAGAGCGATGCCGTATAGCTCCAGAAAAGGCTAATATGATTATCTTCTTGCAAAAAAACTGCTAAACATCACAGGTTTCATGACAAAGTTTGTGTTTTCAATTGTTTAAGCACTGGTTCCAACCAAAGACGTTATGTTTTATTGACAGAAAGGGCTAACTTTGTTATAATTTTGCTTAAAAAAAATTACTGGGAAAATAAAAAATAAAGATATATATATATATATATATATAATTTATATATATATATATATATATATATATATATATATATATATGTATATTATATATATTATATTTTACAAAATAACAAACATGACGAGGTTTTTGGACAAGTTTGTGTTCTTTATTCTTTAAGCACCCGTTCGAGCACCGGCACCGTTTCAAAAGTACCGTTTTGGCACCGGTATCGGATAAAACCTAAACAATACCCATCCCTAGGTATGAGACACTGCAATTAGATAGAAATGAAGGGGGCAAGGCTTAGTGCAACCTTGGCACTACCGCATATTGGATAATATGCTCTGAAAAAGGATTACTATGGGCAGAAATCTGTGCCATCAGGAACTGAATTTGAATAAGTTAAATTTGAATTTGAATTGAATCTGAATTGTAAATTGAATAAATGCTTTTATAAACTGAATTTGAATTAGTCTAATTTGAAATTGAATTTATGGTTTGAAAATGAATTGATTTGCTTTGAAACTGCATTATATCACTTCAAACAGAGGTGATCCAGTAATGCTGCACTAATGAATTAGACTAACTATTCACTTTAGCTAAAGTTATTAAGTTAGCTAAAGAGTTGGGATGCTGTGTAAGACATAAATAAAGCTAAAATACAAAGGTTTGGACACCGTTTTGCATGTTTCCCTACTGTAGGGGTCTCTGCAAGCATACAGAGGGGGTACTCTGAGAGGGTCCAAGATGACAACTTTGGAATTCTACTAGAAACAGTCGATCATATTTGTTTGTCAAAGCTGAATTCAGGGCAAACTACGCTAAATTAGCGTTTTTAGCTAACAGCTACAATAAGCATAAAAGTTACCTTACGGCTATCATTTGTTAACATGACGCTTGTTCTTATACATGTAATACATTTATTACCAACCTGAGAGTTTATCCGCTGGTCATTCGACATGACGAATGACTTCTGAAGTCTTAATTCAGCTCAAGATGCTGTAGATTCCCGTCAGTAACACTTTCGGTCCGCTAGTAAAACGTAGTTCTATTAATCTGCGCTTGAACCGGAACCGGATGTAAGTTCCAAAAAACTGAATTTTGGAACTGAAACTGAATGGTGAGAAGTGAAACTGAAATTATTCGAGAGCTGAATTTTTAAAGGATAAAATGCAGTTTCAAAGCAAATCAATTCATTTTCAAAATATAAAATTCAATTTCAAATTAGACTAATTCAAATTCAGTTTTCAAAAGCATTTATTCAAGTTACAATTCAGATTCAATCCGAGCAATTCAAATTCAAATTTAACTTATTCAAATTCAGTTTCTGATGGCACAGATTTCTGCCCATAGATTACATACCTTTCAACAAATATCGGATTGTCATGAATCGCTGTGTGGCAGGCAGGCAAGCAGGACTGGTGGATCCAAAATGCAGGACTCAGACATAGAAGTACAACTTAAAGCACAGCTTTATTGCTGGGAAAAACCTCTTACTAAACTAAACTCACCAAAAGGAAAACTAAAACACTGTAGCAGAACTGGCGCTGGAGACAAAACACACAGCTTGTTGAGGGTACAACACAACACTGACTCAGAGAAACACAGGGTTTAAATACACTGGGAAGTAACGAGGGGAATGAGACACAGAAGGAGAGCACAGCTGGGGGAAATCAGAACTGACGAGACAAGGAAGCGTAAACTGAACACATTCACATAAGACACGGACCTTCAAAGTAAAACAGGAAGTATGACACAGAGACGCGAACTTGACACGGTGGAGACAGCAACTAAGAAACACAGAGACATAACCAGTAAGGCAGAGGACTCGATGAACCAAAAGACACAGAGGGAAACTCAAACATGCAGACACAGACTTACACAGAACAGAGGGGACACAGAGAGACATGAAGGGCAAGGGATCAAAACTAGAAACCATAGAATAAATCACACACAAGTACAATAATACAAAAATCACAAAGAACTAAAAACGCTGGGTCAGGAGACCCAGGACCCTGACACAGATAGTTACAACCTGGGGAGGTTTTAGGTATCTCCAGTGTTGGGGAGTAATGGAATACATGTACCGCCGTTACATATTTAAAATACAAAATATGAGTATTCTGTTACAGTTACAGTTTAAAAAGATATATTTAGAATACAGTTACTTTGCTGAAATAAATGGATTACACGGCGGTATTTTCCTGTTTCATATTTTAGCGGGTCAGGACTGTTTGGGTTTGTTTGACAGCTATGTTCTGTTGTTCCAGGCGGCAGTGGTTGCCATGGTTACAGGGTGACGCGCTCTCTCCGCGACTGTGTGTTTCCTAGGTGAGAGAGCTCTTTGTTGTTGTTGTTGTTGTGCAAAGCTATAGGCAGAATGCTACAGACATAGCCCTAAAGAATGTACCCTCATGCGCAGTGACACATAACGTGTATGGCAGTCCATTCTCCCTGCAGCACGGACTACAAAGTATTCAGAATTCATTACTCTCATTGAGTAATGTAACGGGATGCGTTACAAATACATTTTGGGGCATGTAATATGTTGTGGAATACATTTTAAAAGTAACCTTCCCAACACTGGGTATCTCCAATTAAGACATCACTTCAATACAGATATTGTGTCTAAGGAGGGAAAGTCTCTAGTCCAAATTTTTATAGATGTAAAGGGAACCTGACAAAAAAAAAAATCTCCATGACACTCTAATGTCAAAAGAAATAAATAAAATGTTTAAAGTAAATCATTCTGATCATAGATGTACTTTGATCCTTAACCCCTCTGCTCTGTGTTTTTTCCACTTTCAGACCAGAAAATCACTCTGACATATCGAGCTCCAAACAACAACATCACAGCTGTAGCAGGGCTGACCTGATGACAGGATATATCATTTTGTACCAGTATTGAGCTTTTAATCCGTTACATATCACTCATAACTTCCCTTCATAAAAACAGAAAATAGAAATCAATACAAAGTATAAAACCACAATCAAAAATAATCAAAAGTACAAAATGAAAGAGAAAATCTAAAAAGTCTCCAAAAAATCAAAAGACTGGGTCAAAGACTCTGGAATCAGTTTTGAAGTAGGGCTCTCTGTTAACAGGAAAAATCCCGCCCGTGTGAGATTTAGAGAGTATATTTAAGGGAATGAAGGGTGGACTCATAAGATTTCCATCTGTGATGGTATCTGTTTAATCTCAATACAGACTCTTAAATAAACAGTTACAGGAAAAGCAGCATGAAGAGCCTGAGTATCTGATAATGAGAGGGTTGCTTTTTCACAGTTCTTAATCATTTGACCCAGCATTTTGAGTTTATGGTGTTTTTCTGGATTTCTTTGTGTTTTAAAGTTTTACTTTTCTACTATTTAGGTTATTTCCTTCAAAGTTAATTGTACTGCCAGTCCATGTTTTCTTATCATTGTGTCATTCCCTGTTTCCTGTCTGTCACATCCTGTGCGTCATTGTGTGATTCTTTCCATTTCTCCCCTGTTTGTGTTTTGTTTTCATGTATGTTCTCCCCAGCCAGCCCTCTCTCTTACCTTCCCTCTCTTGCTCTCTCTCTTATCACTTCACTGTTTCCACGTTTCCCCTCTTTATGTCTCCTTTGGTTTTTCTACATACATTAAACATTGTCATTTTACATTTTAACACAGATTTCAACACTTTTAATACATTTCTGTTTTAACCGGAGTTGATTGATTGAAATTTATAATTTAAACAAAAAACCTACGTGTACTGAATAAATAGGCTAACACACAACAAATCATGGTTGTATATAAATAATCTGTATTCATACATATATTGTAACAACAATGTTGATATTTGTTAATAAAAATGTGACATTTATTAATCATATAAATTTCCTGCAACTGTCATAGACATTAACATGGCGTCCAGTAAATAACCCCATTCAAATGTTGAAAATCATGTTGATGTCTAAGTTACTCAGAGATAGTCATAACAATATTCTTGGTCTCTTTTCTCCACTCTGATTGCCAAACATGTACTCACACGCACATACCATCTTTTCCCCCACGCCCAGCCAGTTAATCTGTAGATAAGCGCTCATATCCGCAAACATTTTTTTTAATGACCTTCTAAATGACTTCTAAAATTGTTACTTCTTAGGCCTGCATAGGCTCACATATGGCTTGTTTTGGCTCTGGTGTGAGAATCTTATACTCTCATGGGTATAAACAATTTCTTAGTTGGCGTCAGCTTTGATGTGTGTTTGGAATCGATTCTAGAAATCAGTGACGATACCCAGCCCAATGTTAAATGAACTGTCCCATGTGGAAAAGAAATAGAAAAAACTTATAAAAGACTTGCATCAGATGTGGCCTACTTCATATAGTGAATCATGTAAGGCTTGTATGATTTACTCATGAAAGTGGCAACTTTCTCATTACTTTCATATATTGTTTTAGTAAGTATCCAAAACATACAAGCTTCATTTATAAAATCTTTCAATCTGTTGTCACTCTTGTATGCTGTTCATACAAGTTTCACACAAGACAGATACAAACTTTATAAGATTTATATATATATAATTAGGGCTGCCACGATTAGTCGACTAGTCACGATTACGTCGACTATCAAAATCGTCGACGACTAATTTAATAGTCGACGCGTCGTTTGAAGCTTTGTAAGATCCCAAAAGACGCAGGAATAAGTAGTAGGATTTAAGAGTGTAATAACGGACTGAAACAGAAGATGGCAGCACTGCATGTACAAGGATGCCAGCTGCCGTTAAACCCCGAAGAAGAAGAAGCTGTGTCCCAGAATTCATAGCGCGGCCCAGCTCAGTTTCCAACAATGGCGGCAGCTAGTTAGTTTTAATATTACTCTTATTATTCTTTCTGGGTCACAAAATAAACGTTTAACATATTTTCAGGCGAGAATGTAGCTGTGTAAATATCTGCTCAGTTTATCAAGACACCACATATTTTCAAAAGCGCTCCGACGTTTTCGGAGACGTCTGTTACCCACCAGCTCGATAGCTAGCCGGGGTTCAAGGCTCACTAGAGCCCGTGAGAACACCGGACTCCCGGCAAATCGTTTTCAAACCCACCGCCGTCTTTCGCTACTCAGGTTAAACATGAATATAAGTCACTTAGATAACTTAAAAATGTTATTGTTTGGCTTTTTTGACGGCTGAGTTTATTAAACTTCACCGAAAAATCTGCAAATTTCATTAAATTTAATAAACTATCATCTTGTCTTTATTTTTAGTTAGCACATACCTTAAACACTTAAAGCTGTAAGCTAATGATAGTTATATAAGAGCAGACGCATGCTGGTGCAATAAGCTGTACGTTTTACGTCCAATGGATGCATGATCTGATTAGTCGACTAATCGCAAAAATAATCGGTGACTAGTCGACTATCAAAATAATCGTTTGTGGCAGCCCTAATATATATATATATGGTGTGTGTGTGTGTGTGTGTGTGTGTGTGTGTGTGTGTGTGTGTGTGTGTGTGTGTAAGAGAGGTTTCCTGTGTGAGGTACTATATGTAATGTATGTAAAGATCCAACAGGTGGAAGCAGAAGAGCTTTAGTTTGTGGGCTGCTGGGGAGACGAAGATATACAGTAACGGGATTATTGGTCTGGTGTGAGGGGTGAAGGCTGGTTGCCTTTCTTAGATTGTATAGGAGGACAATTTTAGGAATTCCCTGAAATTGTCCTTTTTCATACATTTTTGTTGCAATTATTTGTGACACAACGGAAGAAATATTCCTCATTAATTAAATATAATTGAGTCATAATTTTTACCCTTGAGCAAAAACAGGTGCAGATATCTTCAATTTTCTTAATTAAATTTTTGGTTTGCACCCATTGGAGGGCTCCAGTCCAGCCCATGCAGTGGGCTCCAGTCTCCACACACACACACACACACTCTCTCTCTCTCTGACTGTGTGTGGAGTTACAGACCTGCTCTCTCACTCAGGAACTTTCAGCTTCATCTGAACCTCAAAGCTCATCTCATATAGTCTCGTCTGAAGATCAGATTTTGACTTTAATACAGAATCACAGAAATGTCTGTTGGAACTGCGTCACTCTGCTACAGTTTTCGGTTTTTCAGCATCTTCGTGTTTGTCTCTGCAGGTGAGATTAAACTGAACTGAGTTTCTCTCTGAGATAACAAGAATTTCATCTTTGTGTTTGTCTCTGCAGGTGATATTTACTGTTAGAAACTGAAGATGAGTGAAGCCTGTTTACATGTCAATTGTACTTTGACCATTAACCTAACAGTCCCCCTCAGTGTTTCACTGGTTCACTAAATCCAACATGACTAAAAATTAAAATGTCAAAGGAAATAAACAAAATATTTAAAGTCAATCATTCTGATCATAATTGTACTTTGACCTTTAACCTCTCTGCTCTGTGTTGTTTCCTCTTTCAGACCAGAAAAACATCACAGCTGAGTCTGGACAGGACGTCACTCTGACATGTCGAGCTGCAAACAACAACATCAAATCTGTACATTGGAGCAGAGCTGACCTGACAGATAAATATGTGCTTTTGTATCAGGATGGTCAGTTTGATCCAGAAAATCAGCATCCATCTTTTAAGAACCGGGTGGATCTGCAGGACAGACAGATGAAGGATGGAGACGTGTCTTTGATTCTGAAGAATGTGACGATTAATGATGCTGGAACATACGAGTGTCGTGTCTACATGGCAGAAAGACACTCATGGAATTATATCAACACCACCTACCTTCGTTGATCCTCCAGGTGAGTGAGTAGAGTTGAGTGTGTGTGTGATCAGAGGTGAAGCTGCTTCCTGGTTGTTGATGTTTGTTTCTAAAGATGTTGTTGATGAGACTTTGTAGAAAGCAGCTGGTCTGAGTGATGTGATCAGAGTGCAGTAGATAATGTCTGACAGCAGTTTGAAGAGGAAATGGATTCTGTTCTGTTCTTCACTCATCACCTACCTGACAGCTGACACCTCACACCTGTTTCTCACCTGCAGGTCAGACAGGAGGACTGACCGTCGGTCTGACAGTTTCTGCAGTACTTCTTCTTCTTCTTGTTGCTGTTGGTTTCCTGATCTACAGAGGATGTAAACTGAATCCTGCTAAACCTCATGAAGCAGAGGATCTTCAGCCTGAATGTGAGTCAGATGAAGAAACACAAAGAAAGATAAATAAATGATGGTGAACATCCAGCAGACGCTGTAGAAAGCTGGATGTTCAGAGTCTGATGTTATTTCTCTGATGATCATCATGTTCAGACTCAGACCAACAGTGTGTGTCTGTGCTGTCTGTCAGTGACTCTGAACTACAGTTTATTCATCTTCAGGCTGTTCATGAGATTTACTGACACAAAGTCAAACTGTGTTACAAACACACATGAATTTCTGATCTCAGAGTCAGTGAGTGTTTTTGTGTTGGAGCTTCAGGTTCAGCTGTTTGTAAGAACTTGTTCTGTGAGAGATGAACAACACAGACCTGAGATCAGCTGCTACACACACTGAATGAAGTGACAACACAAACGCTGTGTGATGATCTGAGTGTAGATGAAGGTCTGTGGATTATAGACGATCAATAATCTGCCTGCTTGTGTTCAGGATCATCGATCAGTTACAAATGAACGAGCTTTGACTCAGTTTGGATGCAGAAATGTTGTCCAAGTCAAACTGAGCTCTTTCATGTTTCTATGAACTTTGTGTGTGTTGAATGCAGCAGACTGGAAGAAAAACAAAGTGTGTATAACAAACCTCTCTTTAACTGATGCTGCTTATTTTTACACTCAGTAGGTTTCATCATCTTTTCATTAAATACAGCTGAGAGTGTTTTACAGCTCACAGTGTTATGATTGTTATCAAACTGCAGATTTATGGAGCTGCACACTCAGATATTTCTGTCTGATCCTGATACTCTGATGTGTTATTGAACTTTTGTTACAGAACAAACATAAATAATGTTCAGCTTCATATTTACATGTGTTCAGCATACGTTACCATGGTGATTTAACCAGGTTGGTGAGAGAGACGACTCTGACTGTTTGTCCGACACAGCTCACTAACACATTACTCTGGCTTCATATTTAAATTCTTCTGCACTTCACAGTCAAACCTACCAAACATCAACATGTTAACAAACTATGAACTGGAAGTGCTGAGTGTGGCATCAGGTTAGACTGAAGCTGAGTGTAGGAGGAGCAGCCGACAGCTGCACATGTGCAGCAGATGTCACACACACCAGTGTGACAGGAGTGTGAGAGAGATTAAAGAGAAAGAGACAACAGAACATGTTCAACTATGAAAACTCGACTTTAAAACATTTAAACATTAATTAAATCCAACATGACTAAAAACTCAAATGTCAAAGGAAATAAACAAAATATTTAAAGTCAATCATTCTGATCATAATTGTACTTTGACCTTTAACCTCTCTGCTCTGTGTTGTTTCCTCTTTCAGACAAAACCATCACAGCTGAGTCTGGACAGGACGTCACTCTGACATGTCGAGCTGTAAATAATGAGTCAGAGAAAATGAACCAGCAGCTTCATCAGGTTGATCCAACATACACTGAAACATCTCTCTCAGTCTGATCCTCTCTGAGTCTCAGTCACTCACTGTAAATGACCTCATCAATATTTTTCTTCATAAACTGGTTCATACGTGCATATTATTCTGTTATAGCTTGGACACAGCTAATGTTTTTATTTGGAAAGGTGTAGAACGACCAGGTGTCAAACATCAGTCGATGTAAACTACACAGCAGCACAAGCTCCAACGTACAGAGAGAAGGTTTGCTCAACGGTTAAGAAATGGGGAAAAGTTAGTAGGTGTAGTTCTAAGTTGCAAATAGTTCCCTAGCACCTGGTTGATGAGGGAACAAGGTTGGTATCAAAGTTTGTTGTGTAAATGTGTAGTTTGTTATTTCACAGAGCATAAAGCTGCTGACTGCTACTGAGTGTAACGGTTACGTTTTCACCCACTAGAGGGCGGTCACGCACCTCGGTCAATTTTTCATGTTTAGTCAGCTATGAAAAGGTTTACAAGATTCACTGTTATATGCTTTTTAAGGTCAAAGACAATTGTAATCGTAATTTTATCTCAGGGTATAGAAAAGGTAAGAGGCTAAATGTTAGAAGGGTTGAATAAATATACACGGCAAAAGCGCTCGATGTAGAAACTCAAGGGCCTTAAAGGTGTAATCATTTAAAGTAATGAATTCATTTATGATTAATAAATAAGGAAAAGGGTTAAAGGTTTGAGTTACCAATGGTAATTTTATTGTGTACATTTTGTAGCTTTTACGGTGTGATCACATTCAAGGTTGTTCAATAAAAGGATTTTGGACCATCAGTTTGGAGACCATCTTTTCAGCCTGGGATGCTGTGCTCATTTCTTCACTTTAAATTATTCCTTTTTTAATTTGTGTCATTGGCAGAGAAGATAAATTATGTGAAGTTCATCATGTCACTTGTCACCACAGATTTAAATGTAGGTTTGATATCTCTGTGTCTTTGTTATTAACACTGTGGATTTTTCTCATATACTGAGGTTTGAAACATTTCTGGACTTAGTGAAGTGTTTCTGTCTGTGTAAGAGACGTTGACTTGATAGTGTGGATTAAATGTTGGATAATATTGATGAATTTTGTCTGCATGTGTCGAGAATCAAGCTAACAGCTAACACACTGTTAATTTTACAGAAAGTGAAAAATAAATCAAATATTTGTGACATTTAGTTATTAAACAGTGAACATGATAAACTGAACCAGTACATGTAAAACATCCAGAGCAGCTCATGGGGCTCCAATTGTGGTCATCAATATTTTGTACTTGTAAATCAGACTGTGTAGTTGTGAAGTTTTCTAACCTTGGAAACCAAAATATTTGATAATGTTATGTTTGTGCATCTATAGATGAGCAAGCAAAAAACTACATGTAAACTCTACAAAGTTCCCTGCTTGTGTGTGAGTTTCAACGTACGAGTACGACTTTTGACCTGATTTTCCTTCCTTTCTACTGATTGGTCAGTGTCATGCCAATCAGAGAACAGATGGGTTTGGCTTATGTCGTGGTTTCGTGGTTTCGCTTTACCAAGCTTCAAGTCCTGGAAGGGTGATACATCTTAAAGATGGAGGATGGCGACAGTACTGCTTCAGTGCAGTGTGAGTCAAGGCCCTTTCACATTGGATGCACCATGATGCGCTCACTGCTAACTAGAGCAAAGGATCCAAAAGTTGTGCTTTGCTGCCACACTACGTGTACTAGATGTGCCTTCTGCTCCTTGTCATTTCAAAATGTCACGGTTCTGGGTCATGTTGACCCAGCTTTCTGTTTTTCATGCTTTGGTGTTTTTCTAGATTATGATTTATGATTTGATTAATCAGTGATACTGTTTTGATTATGATTATTATTTAGTAGGCTTTGGTCAGTGTCAAGTCTGTCTCTCTCTGTCTAGTCCGTGTCTTAGTAAAGTGTGTTTTGTTTCCTGTTTTACTTTGAAGGTTCTTGTTCCTGTCTGATGTCAGTGTTCCGGCTTTGCTCTCCCTGTCTCGTTAGGTCTTATTTCTCCCAGCTGTGTCTCCCTCCTGTGGCCCATTCCCTGATTACTCCCCGTGTATTTAAGCCCTGTGTTTTCCTGTACTCGGTGTCGCGTCGTTAATGTCTGTTCACCCTCGCTTCTGCTGTGTGTTCCATTTGCCAGCCTGCCAACCTGTCTAGTTATTCTGTTCACCCAGTTTAGTTAGTGTTTTTCCTGTTCAGTTTCATACCAGCAATAAAGCTGTGCTTTGAGTTACTTCTGCCTCCGTGAGTCCTGCGTTTTGGGTCCTCTCTCCCTGCCTGCCTACACACAGACGTGACACAAAACATATATCTCTCTGACTTTATGTCCTCTATGAGAGTTTGTGTTGTATTGTATTCTC